CCGTCCGCCGCCACCTCCTTCTGATGTCTCCCTCTTCTTCACGCTCTCTTCTCACTTCACTTCATTCTGCTGACTCAGACAGGCAGGAACAGCAGGACAAACAAACCTCCTGTACCTGTCCTCGCCGTCCCCTCCATCTTCACCTCCATCCTCGTCTCCTTTTCCACTTCCCCCGTCCTTCCGTTCCCCCGGCTTGTCATTTGTTTACCTCCTCTGCTTCCTTGACCGCCCTGATTCATTCTCCCAGAGAGCAATATTCTGAGCAGTGTGTATACACGCGCATGAATGAATTAGTCACAGTGCTCTTTATTACTCCATCTCTGCGCAGCACTTAAGTACTGCAATTACTGCACTCTTCAGTGGGAACTTCAGACTCATTTCTTGCCCCCCGTCGTTCTTTGTAATATAAAGTTTGACCAGTGTTTTGTAAAAACAAAACAAAAAAAAAGTGCCCATGTGTTTTTAAATAACTTCAAAAACTTTCACTTCAAAGAGTTCAAAGAGTTTAAACACTTTGATGTTGGATGAGGAATTTCAAAGTACGATTTCCAAAGACAAAGACACTGAGTTGTTCGACCAATGAGCACAGTCGACACTGGAGTAGGAGTAGGTCGTCTTGAAGGAGGAGATTGTCCTCCTTCATGACGACCTACGTCTGAGATCTTAGAAGAAAAAAGTCCTGGTTACTGAGAACAGTTCACAGTACAGTTTTAAAGCCCTGGAACTGCTACCTTGATGGAAATACTGTGGGGCAATTGTTGCTGCAACAGGCTGCTCCTCAGAGGCACCAACAATGTGTTTCCTCTGGGACTCGAACCCAAGACCTTCTGCATCGGGCAATTGTTGCTGCAACAGGCTGCTCTTTAGAGGCACCAACAATGTGTTTCCTCCGGGACTCGAACCCATGACTTTCTGCATCTGAGGCACACGTGTGAATAGCCGTGACAACCGCTACAGTACAGAACCACGTTGTTGTGTTTGCTCACAGCTCAGACTCACAGCCTTCATCAAACACCTGCATGTGTGTGTGTGTGTGTGTATAAACTTGTTTTGTTACATGCCAAGGACGTTTTCACATATCTGACATGAACAGAACTCCTGACGGGACCCAGATCCTGGACCTGATGAGGAAGAACCTCAACTTAGAAATACGGAGTTGTGGTCTGTTACAGTTAGACGTCAGGAGTCCAGGTTTGAGGTGAGGTGTCTGGTTATCGTCAAGTTTTCGAATTGAGTCAAAGCAGTAGAAGAAAATCCATCATCTGGGTGTGTGTGTGAGTGTGTGTGTGTGAGTGCGAAGCAATCTGTGCCAGTAAGTGGGGATTTGCTCCAAAGCCAAGAGCCTCTTTAATACCTAATGCTGCAGAAGTAGATCTCCTTCACCTCCTCCTCCGTCTCCTCCCACTCTCTCATCACCCATCATCTCTTCACACACACTAAATTATACACCACATATGCCTTTATAATCACAGAAAGGAAACCCCTTTCACAGAGGGCTAAAATTACTGCACAGACCAACAGACGTGGGGCTCAAGTCCCGACGCAACAAATATTTCTACGACTGATGGACTGACGGCGAAAAGAACCGAGAGTCGAGAGAATGATCAAAGTGATTTTAACTGTCGTTTCAAGAGTCCGTTGGGGTTCGTTACCATCCAGAGGTTGGTGCGGCGATCGTGAAATAACCAAGTTATGTGTAACAGAGTCAGCTGCATCCTGGGCCGTGGATACATGAAGCCCTGACGCTGGTCTGGTCTCAGGACTCCCTGCTGTACTAGACGTTATTCCCAGTCTGATCTCTCTCTTCTCTGGTTCTGTCTCCGAGGCGACGTTAGGTTTATGTTCCTTCATTAGTCACTAACAATGGGGAAACTACTTCTGTGTTCCTACAGAGAAAGTTGTATTTGTGTGTGCGTGTGTGTGTGTGTTCATTGTGTGAGAGGTGGAGACAGGGGCAATATTTCTAGCAGACATGCTCAGCTTCCAGCTCCCTGACTTCACCATATGGAGCTCATTACTTCCATTTATGAACGTGCAACATTAGTTTAACACACACACTCTCTCACACTCACTCGCAGACAGACATACACACACACACACACACACACACACTCATACTCAGTCTAAACAAAAACAGACACATGCGATGGCAGCACGGTGGCCGCACAGAGAAAACATATGTCACGCAATAAATAAGAGTGTCGACATTAATGCCTGAGGCGTCTGTTCACTGCGGGTGTGTGTTTCCATTTGCATGTACACAGTGTGTGTGTTTGTGTGTGTGTGTCAGCGAGGCCCATCACTGTTATTCTTCATAAACACTTTTTTTTTCAGTGCTGCCAGAATATGATCAGTTCCCAGACAACGAGCAGCTCAGTTCTTCACGTACGAAGACACATTTGGTTTTCCTGTTTTCACATTGGCTCCTTACTGGTACTGGTAACTTACAAATGTGAGCCTAGCCCTAATCCTAATCCTAATCCTTACCTTATCTCTACTCTGATCTAATCTGATTCTAATCCTAACTTCAAACTAAATCTTTAACCTCAAAAACACCACCTCACTCTGTGGGGATCTAGAAATGTCTCCTCAAGATAAAACAGTCACAGATGGTATTTTTCTGAATGTCCCCACAAGTATGGCTATACCAGGATCACCAAAACACATTTGATTTTATACACAATGTGTGTGTGTGTGTGTGTGTGACAGAGAGAGAGAGAGAGACAGAGGGAGAGAGTAGGTAACATGCATAGTTTTCCATCTATACACCACAGTACATGTAACTGAATGCAAAGATGAGGGTTTGTTATTAAATTAACCGTAATAAATGTAATAGAGCGGTCCACTTTTGTGACCAGTATTATTATTATTTTTTTTACTTTCTTAACCATCTCAGTTAATAACTTTGACATTTTGGAAATACATGCAGGACTTGTTTGAAAGAACATATGTAGTGAAATAATTATAACATAACAATGATAAAGATATAACATTTCCAAAAAGATTAAGAAGAAAAAAAATCATAATTGATAAAATATGAACACGTCTGCTTCTTCTATAGCGTTGAAAACATCACATTTGATTCCACTTCTTGAAAGTGGTTCCTGGTGCTGTAGATTTTTTGTGTGATGCTATAGATAGAATAAAGGAGAGATGAAGACTCAGCTACAGAGATGAAGAAGGAAACCGTCTGTAAATACCATTTTCCGATAGAAGTCAGTGTAGAACTCGAGTGAGTTTTGAAAAAAAAAACCAAAAAAACAAGGCCATTATCCGGTGCGGAAGAACTCCAAAATAACTTTATCCTGTGGTGATCACTGTAGCAGTTAGGGGCATTTGTCAGCTATGAAGGCTCCTGTCTGGAACCAGAAGTTGATGTATGAGTTTTGAAAGAGACAAGAACCTGGAGTCCACAGAGACGGGGGCGTCTGAGACTGACGTACAGCTCCATCCGTCAGCACCGCTGCAAAAATGTCAAGGTAAGCAGTCTGACAAATGACAGCTGTTCTCCAGGAACATTCCTGTTATTTTTGTCGATCTCCTCTCACACCGACACATCGACGAACCCTTCGCCTAATTGGGCTGTTGTAAGGAATGAGGCCTTGATGGCGAGAGACCCGAGCTGTTCGGCGCCCAGCAGGTGCGAACGCTCCGCACGAGCATCACGCAACACTGGCCTGCATTTTTCAACCGTGTAGCCTCCCCTGATTGGCTGCCTAATTGATTGGCTGTCTGGGTAACTGATGGACTCGGCCCCTCTATCTGGAATATCCGAGGTAACACATTGAGGCGACACCCAGAAGCTCTCCAATCAGCATTTCTCAGTGAACGGCGGGGATCAGCAGAGCGGCGTGTTCATCTATCACTCTGATATTAACTGGTACGGCTCCCCGGAGTTTCACACTCGTCCCCGTTCAAAACCTCTTTAAATGGAACTCTAGCGTCCCTCATGTACGATTGATGTGAACGCCTGTCTGACCTCCTCACCCTGACTAATGGATCTCTGTTACAACCTGCTCGCCTATTATACAGTTCAACTGCGATGAGTCACGTGTCACACGTGTCACGTTATTTCCTCCATCACCAAATGACTCACCCTCTGCCCCCCAGTGGCCACTTGAACAACTTTGATCATTCCAACTTTGAATTTAAAGGTCCAATATATGTAACACTGGAGCAACTCTCTCTCTCTCTCTATCTTTTTTTGTTTTGTTTTTTGTAATGGAATAAACACGTCAAACCGAGACAAAAGCAGATGTGACAGCCAATTTCGTTCGGCTATCGGGCCTGTTCCACAAAGTCACCAAAGAAATGGAAAATAAGTCAGAAACATTTTATATCAATCACGAAAAAAAACATTTAAAAAAAAAAGTTATTTTAAAATTTTAACATTTTAACAAAGTTCAATCACGAAAAAAAATATTTCTAATTCCTACTCTTGTGTCACAATCTGCAAAAACAAAAACAAACTTTATAACATTGATACAGTTGTTTTACTGCATTTTTTATACAAATAATTACAGGAATAGCACCTTATTAATTTGACTTAAAAAAAAAACCTTTTAGATACATCATAATTGGGTTAAAAAATTAAAACAGGGTTTTAACAAGTTCTCAACATGACTGTTTGTTGTCTTTAAGTTCTGTTTGTTTTTGACCTTGACAGTTTCTTATCTGTTCATTTTTTTATTCTTGTTAATTTAATTTTGTGAATTACTGACAGTAATTAGTAATGAGTTTTAAACCCCTGGTCTAGGGACCCCTAGCGGCCCACAAAGGAGCTGTTCCTTGACTGGATGTAAATAATAATTAATTAAAAATAATAATTTTTAATTAATAATATTAATAATATTAATAATATTTTATAATAATTTTTAATAAATAATAATTAATTAAAAAAATAATTAATTCAAAGACTACTAAGGCTACTTTCTCATGTCTGTCTTTGGGGGTAAGGTGGTGACGTGAGTTTTCCCAGTAACGAGTTTCTACAGGTGGGTTTGTCTGATTCATGAACAGCTCAGGTGTGCAGTGTATATTTCAGAAACCGATTTAAATCGTTCGAATTCAGCTCCAGAGTATGCAATAATATCGAAAATAATGTGGAATTTGAACATTTCAAGCAGTAAAACTTAAACCGGTTTAAGAGTTGGTCTTTCGATTAATTGCGGTTGTTTCTTCTGAGTATTACGGTAGTGGGCGGCACGTAAAGACGCGTGGACGCTGGACTGGGCGTGTCCTCTCTTTGTGAGTGTTTGTGTGCGGAACTCCTTCAGACTGACTGAACCTCCTGCTCCTGCTCCTTCTCCGGGTCCAGCGCCGGCTCAGACACACAGACAGACGCGGCTGGAGGCAGGGGGAGAGAAGGGGAGAAGAGTGGGTGGGTCACCGCTCTGTGAACCGCATCCCCGCTGCTGCTGCTGCGCACCAAACGAGAACCAGCCACGATACAGCTGGATTTACCCGCGTCTGCTGCATCTCCAGGGGACAAGAAAGTGGAAGAAAACCAGCCTCCACAGCAGGAGCCTGAGCAGCGGAGGGCTGAGCCGGCGAAGGCGGGAGGAACAGGTTTTGAGTCCGGGCAGCGGGGGTTCGCTCTGCCGCTGCGCTGAAGCTCAGTGACCGAGACAGCTGTCAACCTGCAGGTAACATCCAGAGCTGGAGCTCGTCCCGTACTTTTCTACAACACTGTAATTGTTATTATTTATTATTATTATTTAAATATTACACTTAGTGCTCAGTTCTTCTGCGCATCTTTAAATGTATTAGTTTGACGGAAGTTTAAAATTACCCTTATTATTTATAATGTTTTTTTTAATATAAAGTAATTCTTGTCATTGTTGAATTACATTCAGATCTGGTTTTGTTTCCACCGTCATTCACTAACTGTTGGCTCATGACTGTAGGAATTTTAGAGTCAATATGTCATTTTTCATACCAGGTCACGACAAACTCTAAAGTCAGTCAGGATTTTAGGTTATATATATTTTTTTATCTTAGCCTTGAATGTGTTGAATGAGCTGAAACAAACAAACAGTTGTTGAACTAATGAGTTAGAATTAAAGTAGAACAAGACAAAAAACAAAACAAAATAAAACAAAGTTTCACCAAGAAGATAGAAATTGAGAAAATGGCAACATAAACAATATTCTGGTAAAAGAAAGGTTAGTATGAGATTAAAAATGTCAATACAATTTTTAACTGAAAATAAACAAATATTTTTGAAATACCTTAAGGCAAAGGAGAGTCCAATTCCTACCTTGAAATTCCTACCAGAAATGTTTTTCTATATTTCATGTATGAATGTGAAAAATAAAAATATGAAATACTTAAAGTTACCCCCAGAAACCTTTAAATAATAACAATTTGCTGTGTTTTTAAAGCATTTGCATTTGGAATTCATGCATTTTGAAAGATTACTCCACTGGAAATTCATTAATTCAGTATAAAGATCAGTGAATCTTTGCAGCCATTGTTAATTTTTTGTGGTTTTCTAAATTAAGAAGTGAATATTAGTCTTTATAATTCAAATGAGAGGACGATGGTGAGGAGAAGAAGATTGTAGCAGGGTGGATGTTGGGAAAAGAAAAGACAAGACAAGACAAGATGGCCTCAGGTCTGATGTGATGCTCCGTCTGGAGACCTTGGCATCGGCCATGTCCAGTGTGGACAGTTCTAGAAAGATCCGAGAGACAGCGGAGGTGGAACAGTTTGGAGAGTCGAGGTTTGGAGACGGCTTGGATGTGTGCTAGAAATAATGGCTAAAATATAGTGGAGGTGACTGTGCCAGGCTGGAGGAAATAACCAAACCTCAGAGAACATTCATTGATGTCATAGGGATGTGTGGTGTTCCAGTAAATTAGGGCTTGGCATTGGGTGATGTGGAGACGGATGATCTGCTGTGGTGACCCCTCCAGCTGAAAAGAGGGAGATGCAATATAGTGTAATAACTTTGACCATTCTTGGAGCATTTTTTTTTTTTTTTACCATGTAATGGCTAATCTTTTCACAACTTGCCCATTATTTTTTGGGTGGCCATTATTAGGACCTGTGAGTCTGGCGTCTTCCAGGAGGAATATTCAATTATTCTACAGAACCTGTGCACATAAACAACCATGTGTTTGATTGGTGGATATAGAACACTGTGAGTCAGCGGAGGAGCTTCCTCATTATGAAGCGTTTCTGTTCTGTGGGGCTGCGAGCACCGAGCTGTAAAACAAAAACAAAAAAGTGTTCTTTTATCTTGACTTTTTTCACAAAAAAGGAAAAGTGTATTTAAACTGTAGTCATGTTACTGTAGTAGTTAGATAGTAATACTCCGTAGCAAGCTAGGAAGTATAGTTTTTGGCCACTCTAAGCAAGGCTAAGGTGAATTTAGGTTCGTAATAAGAACATTTGGAATGTATTTTCATCCTTAGTTTCAGCTAATCCTGACCAACTGCTCAGTCTCAACTGTTGACTTGCATTTTATAGCTAAAGTTTTGTTCTCTAAATATAGCTTTGGCTAGCTGTTAAAGTTATCTTGACTAGCTTGCTTAGTTTAGCTTTGCTGAATTGGCTTCATTGGCTAGCCAAAACAAATGTTGTGTAGCAACAGTTTTGGCTAGCTGTGTTAGCGGGATAAAATGTGACCGTAAGCCAAAAAGTAAATACTGCTAGTATTTACGTTTTGGCTAAGCTAACCTCTGGTTTCAAGGGAAAGGCTAATATCTGGTTATTGTTTCATTGTTTTTTGTAATATCTGCAATTTTCCTCTTCAATAGATCATAGCTGAAGATTTATTCTTTCTAATGCTTAGCTGCTTTTAGGCTAGTGTTATTTATTTATGCTTTATTCACGTTCATAAAACATGTTCATGGGAGATATGGATGAATTAATGGTTCATTAATATCTTATCTGCTGGATAAGCATGTTTAGTTCCAAGACCGGTGACAATTCTAGAATGAGATTTTAATATTTGACATATAGTTTGAAAAAAAACATCATAAAATTACATTGATAATTAAATATAATAATAGTTATTGTATAATTTATACATTTATTACCTGTTTGTTTGTGTTATGCTGATAGCAGTAGTGACCAGGAGTCAACATCTGGTGGCAACCCATCGCCCTTTATTGCCCCCGAGGAGATTTCTGCTTTAACAGCAGCATCATTAAAGAGTCCATTTGTGTTTGACACCTTCGGTACGGAGCTGCGACTGTTTCCTGTCAGCAGTGTAATTTTCGTGCCGTTGAAACGTCTGACGGAGCAGTGCGTTCTCCAGAGCCGTCTCGCTGGCTGATGATGGAGCCCATGTTTTTAGTGCCGTTAATGAACCGCTGCTCTCTGTTATCTCAGCAGCCATAAAGTGATCCTGTAATAACTGAGTGTGATAATACTGGGGGAGGAGAGCAGCTGAGGGCCAGAGGATGGAGTGCATCCAGGGTGAAGACAGAGAAGCTGCTGCCACTGAGACACATGCAGACGTTAGAGACAGAGAAGCTGCTGCCACTGAGACACGTGCAGACGAGAGGAACTGAACACTGAGGCCTGGTTCTAGTGGGACAGCCATTTTTGAGGGATTGGTTTTTGTTAGAAACAACATGAGGGGTGTGGTTTGGTGGAGATCCAGTTCACTTTTTTTGTTACCAATTTTGATAATGCATTTTAATGGCATTTAATATAATAATTTAAAGATGGTTTCATTTACTGTAGCTTTTTTTGCCAAATGGCTAGACTTCTGAGCTGTAATTGAATTCTCAGTCATGTTTTTGCTAACTGTTGTAATTGAATTCTCAGTCATGTTTTTGCTGAAAAAAACTGTTAACCTGTTTTACTTTGGCTCAGTAATTTTGGGGTTTTCTTTCAGCCTTTAACTGCTATTGTTTGAGATGTTGTTTTTTTGTTGTTTGCTCAGAATTTTTGTTTTAAATAATCCTTCCTTTTTTTGTTCACATTTACGCTTGTTGGGGGGAAAAAAATAGACATTTTCTTTTTCTAGTTTGATACAGTGATTTCGGGTGTTTTAACATCCCTTTGGAAATATCCATTTTCCCAATTAATCTATCCAAGAATGTTGTTGTCATTTGTTAAAATAGTAACTTATTTATCTAAAAACTGATACTTTGCGACACAAGGTGATGCTTTAAAAACGACTTGGATTTGACTTAGAGTCCCCAGTCTTCAGAAGGAAAGTGGCGAGAAGCACGGATAAGTGAGTGGTTGTGGTTAAAAAGGCAGGTTGTTGTTGTTGGTCTGTGCAAACGGGGGAGAAATCAATGCACTTGTCTTTACATGAATAGCTGCACAAACCACCTTTGTGTGTGTGCAGCTACGTCTCAGGTCGATTGAGCAGAAAGGAAAATACAGTAGGGATGCAGACGGAGTGGGAGGAGGTGGGGGATGGAGAGCCCAGCAATATGTGAGTGTGGTGGGGATGGAGGAGGAGGAGGACGCAGGAGTGAGGGAGACTTGTCTCCAGCCTCTTTACCGCTCTAATTTGCTTCGACAGCACCTCCTCTGGCCCGGGCTCTGAACAAGCCTTTACTTTATATATGAGGGGAAAAGACATGAAATATATTGTGCTGTCTTTCTCTGTCTGCGTTTAACTGGTGATGGTGAAACTACAGCGACTGCAGCCAAACGACTACTGTACTTACTTACGTTTTCTCTGGACTGTTCTCACTTTTATTGTTTCAACATTCCACCATAGTACACATACACAGTCGTCTCTCTTCAAGATAATCAGCAGTATTGCATCGATTTCCCCTTGCTGTACTTTTTACTGTCTGCTGATGAAAGCAAGTATTCCTAAGTAGTTAGGAATAAAAACAATCAAATATTCAAGACGCCCGGTATCTAACATTTACTCATGTGTGTAATTATGACAGACAGTAAAGACGAGCCGAACAGATGTCCAACATTGTCGTAAAAAAAAAAAAGAAAAAAAGAAATCGAGTCTCATTGAGTCTGATGAAGGACGCCGCCATTAGGAGCCTGAAATAAAATGAACAAACAGTTGGTGTCGACATATGCTGTTTGATGATAAGGTTCATAGCCGTCATATAAGTTTATATCACGGAGAGGATTTATGAATCCAGGTAGCTTTTCAACGACAATTCTGACAATAAATCATATTTATAAATACAATTTATTTAAACTGCCTTTTCATTTTTGTTCCTTGTTTTTTTTTTAAATTTGTGTTTATGAAACACAGGACACTTTGTATTGCGTGTTTTTTTTTTATATCTCATTAATCAGAGGCGATGATAATAATAAACACAAAGTCTTTAAATCCAAATGAATCATGATTAATAAACAAAATATTTTTTATTCCGTATTTACCTGTGTATTTTTTATCTACTACATCACAGTTTGAATTTGACCTTTTTGACCCTGTCTTCCACTCTATGGTGGGCTAGCTACATAGTTTGTCTGTGTCTGGACTGTTATAGCTAATGCTAATAAATTTTTCATTGAGGTGGCTACTGCTTGAAGAAGAAAAAAATTACAAAATCCACCAATACACCACACTCTGAAAAGATGACTGCCACCTATAGGTTGGAGTGAATGAGACTGTGTTGCACGTGTGCCAGAATTTAACCGTGACAGTTGTGAGGAATGTATAACTTTTAATGCCAAATTTTTAGGGTTGGTTCAATCG